GTATAAAAATAATGCATGATAATTAATCATCAAATTATTTTAATTCGTTATCTTCATGATGGAAGTCAATAGAGCCAATTTAATTATTTTATTATATTTTATTTTATCCGATTAAATTCTGGAAAAAAAGGAATTTTTAATCTTTTTACTAATTACTTACGAAGTAGCGTAGTTAATAATTCGCAACTCCAATAAAAATAGTGGAATAGTAATTACTACCCCTCCCTACTCCGTAATGATGCCTATGAAAAAATTAATACTCATTTGATAATTTTTGCAAAATTTCTTATACGAATCTTTGTAATTTGTGAGCCTGTTGTGCATTTTTCACGCCCAAATCGTTCGAATAAAAAAAAAAAATGTTTTATGACATAGATAGGTTAGGTTAGGTACCTACTGTTTGTGTGATAACTTTGCAAGATAAACGGCGGTGGATTTTAATTGCTGTCATTTAACATATACCTGATTAATCTATACAGCGTAAAATAACCATAATCATATAAATATCATAAATAATAATCATAAAAATGTTGTTATATATAAATGCATATAATTAATTTGTAAAAAATATATGAGTAATGATTTTAAAGTTTTAGATAATGTTACAAGGAAAAATAGATATAACCTAGCCTTTGAAGATAGAAAAAATTAAAAAGAAAAAATCTTCATTGAGTCACCTCAGCGAGTACGCCAACATTTGAGAAACATTCTGTATAATGTATATTTCGTACCTGTCCATATCGCGATTTAATGAATGAATAATGAAATGGATAATATTTTCATGTTATCCGTATCGCGTAGTTACGTGAAGTGGAGAAATCGCGGTTCCGTTCACGAAATGGATATAACCGTTGTTCATTTCGCGAAACGGACATTAACGCGATATGGATGTGACGATTATTTTACTCATCTTGTAATTATGAACACTAGATTTTGTAAATAGAGGACGCCGAACAGTATCAATTAAAACGGTTCGGATTTATCGCATCGACTAGAATGTGCTCCGCACAATGGTAATGTGGTTTTCACATGTATGGCATAGGACATTTATTGGTTTTTTATTGTTATCATTTAAACGGTTACACTTACATATAATTGTTATAAAATAATATTCGAAGAGAGTTTTTTTCTCAATTGGGAAAAATTATTTACAAGAATATAATATTAGGCTTCTAGAATTAGACATTTTTTTTCTAATATTAATAATATCCATGTATCAGATATTAATTATTATTATTTGGAACTTGTTCATGGTATTGTACTAATAGGTATATGTAATAATCCAGTACAGTTCATATTATATATAAAAAAACTATTGAGATTCTTGAAAAATATGGACTGTAAATAAGTACGCATCACATATACATATTTACTAGTGTATATATATTTGGTACGCATCCGGTCGATGAAAATGTTCTCTTTAAATAATGTTCCATAACAATTATTCATAAGCATAACAGTTTGAATTTTAATAATAATAAACTGATAAATGTTCTTTGCCGTACATGTAATAATCACATCATCACTGTGCGGAGCACATTCTTATCGGGTGCGATAAATCCGAACCACATATTTTTGCTTCGGCCGGACAATGTTTGTTGTCCTCTCACAAGTTTACGTGATTGCAATCACACGGACGCGGATAGGATTCGCTTAAAGATTCGTAGCAGTTTCAGCGCAGAGGATTTTGATGCGGTTGTTTTCGCACCGCTCCACGTCAACTTGGCTCTGGACGGTCCGGATGTCGGCCAAAATAGTGGCCAGTCTTTCTCGCCTCAACCTCACGACCTCTCCGAGGCGACGGTTCTGAGCGGTCAGCTTCGCGACAGTGGCGATCGCTCCTTCGCCGGCGGCCGCACGTGCGCGCATCCCGTCCACATACTGACCGAGTTGGTCTTGGATACGACCCACCGCGGCCGCGGCCCGATCTCTGCACGCTTCCAGTTCGTACCGCGTCTCGGTCACGGCTTCGCACAGCGCCTGCGCGGCCCGATCATCGCGCCGTGTTTTCCGCTCGATTTTGGCCCGCAACAGGTGCACGAACAATTTGTTCCGGACCGCCGAGGATTCCAGCGCATGTCCCATCCAGTCCGAAATCTCATCTGCCCGCTGCTGATAGTATTCCTCGGAATCTTCGTTGGCCATTTCGGTTCGTTCTTTCCCCAAATTTCTTTTCCCCCTATGTAGGTACCTACTTACTTACTTTTATATTGAATCAGCCAACAGTGGAAAGTCGAAAGTTAAAAAAAATAGAATTGTTATGTATGAACCTAATATTTGTTTATTAGAATACTGTAATATCGAAAATCCGCGTTGCCTAACAATGATGGAGAATTAATAAATCGTCGAAATCAACAGATTATCGTCGATAGTCATAGGGATTGGTCTTCAAGGATTTAAAGACAAACCGAATTTTATTGATGCGTTCAAGGAAGTTCACAGTTTTTCGGCATTTTTTTCATGACTAGCTAGCTGGGTCCTGAATTTATTTTATAATTGTGACTTGCTGACATCCAATGTATATTGGTTTGGTGAATTTTACTCTCTTTTTCGAGAATGTAACATCCGTTAAATTGCCATTGTAATGTGTTCAAACATCGGCTTGTCTATTAATTTTTGTATCAGCTCAGATTATGGTAGGTTAAAGCGGTGGCACTATAAGCTATGACTGTACAATTGAGGCGTGACATGGTATGGTGGAGGGTATTATATTATAAGAAGTGTACGATAAGAGGCGGCAGGTTAGCGTATGTTAGATCGAGATAGGTTAAAGCGGCGGCGATTCGTACACCGAACATCACGGTGTCACATAGAGGGTATTTTATTAGTAGTGCGGGTAGGGGGTTATTGGGTCAAGTATGATAAGTTAAATTTTATAAAAGGAGGCAAATAGATACAGAGGTTGAACTAGAAACTTTTACGCCTGGAGAAAATGTTAAAATTACGCCAATTATCAGATACTTTTCTCGAGAATTTGTTTCTAATAATTAATATACAATGATAACATACTTATTGGGTTTTAATCTAATATCAGTATTTAACAAAGTTAAAAATATCAAATGAGTTGTTAATAATAACAAAAATTATACTTTCTAAATTTTCACGTCCGGAAATGAATCCCCATATTCCATCCCCTAGTTCCACCCCTGAATTAGATTATGATAGATTAACACAATGGCGGCTAACGTTAAAATACGCGGCGGCGGCAGCGGTGGTTCGGCAGATAGTAGACGGGACATGATGGGCTGTGGTGGTCCTAGAACTGTTCTTTTCATAATTCCAATGTATTCACAAAACATGTAAGTAATTTGAACTTGATTCTTAATTCATACAGAAAAAAATATTCAACAGTTGCAATTAATACGATCAATCTTAATGGTACACAATGATTGCACAATAAAACGAATCATTAAAAGTGACAAGGAGTCTATATTTAAATGTATAAACTTTAAATAAGTAATAACGTTACACATATGATAATAATTGTATTATAATGAATATTAACTGTGCATTTAACACGAATGGGTACAATAAAATATTATATCAATTATCGATATTATAATCACGAATTGTATAATACATACAATATGCAATTTGTTTAAAATGTAAACTGGGGAAATAATGTTTTCATACTAATATAGTATATTAGATATAAAATTATATAACTAAACAGTAGGTACCTATGTAAAATAAAGGTTACAGAAAAGAATGCACTTAACATACTGAAGAATCCAATAATAGAACAATTAAAAATAAATTAATAATGAGTTCGTATAACATCGTCTAAAGAAAAAGGTAAATTATTTAAATGTTATCCGGAACCGTTGCTTGTTCATACAAATATTGTAGATATAGTTATTATATATATATATTAGTTTAAATAATGTTTATTAAACATGTTTTTGTTTGTTGAACTAAACAAGTAAAAAAAAAAAGCGTTTAACTGTGCTTACTAAGTTAATATTTAATATTATTATTTTTATTATTATTATTTAATATTAAAATATTTTATTTATTTTTAACAGTGGACAATGGTTGGAGTCCATTTCGATAAATATTTATTGATAACCCTCAGCCGTGTTATGTTGTATTCTGGGCCGTAATTACAAATTTTGATCCCTGGGTCAATAATATTTGTACCCCCTTCTTCCAAAAAAATTGATACATTTTTTTAGTTTTTTTTTTAATACATTTTTAGTTATAATTTTTTATTTAGTCTACATTTGTTAACTACGCAGATAATACTATTATGAATTTTTAATTATTATTTAAAATATTAATACAATTGAAAACCGGTTTACAGAGGTACATGTTGGCCATCCTCCTAAATTGATCAAAATTCAGTCACCCGAGGGAAATGTCCCCATTTCCTCCTTCTCCCTCCATTAATTACGGTCCTGATTTTACCTATACTGTGGTGGTAGTGATGCTGCTACTATTATGATAGGTGTAGCGGTATCAACGGCGAGAGTATGGTGGTGACGAGTCGCGAGATCAGGTACGCGATGACCGACGTTACGGCAACCCGGCGACTCGCGCAAAAGCGATCGGCCGCCCCGGACCACGTGGACACCGGCAGGAACCGTAAGTCGTCGTCTTGGTGTTGCTGGTCATCGGCACGGTCGCCGTCGTAGACTACGGTCTCGCTGTCGGCCACGTTTGGCTCTTGTTCGCCGTTCGCGGCCACGGTCGTCAGGTCCGTCGCGCTCGCGGAGTTCGACATCCAATAGTACGTGTAGTGCTGGCCATCGAACGCGCTCTTGACCGTCGTCGTCGCCGTCGTCGGTTCCATTACGACGTTCACCAGCGTCGACCGCGGCTCTTCCGAATCGTCCGTCCTCGGCACCTCGACCCTAACGGTTTTCTCGTTGTGTCCGGCAGCGTTCACCTGCACCAAGCACATCGAAATCGAATAGGTCAACTTGATCGAACATGTTTTTTTTAATTTTATTTTTTTTCACCTTACCGGTCCATTAAGGACCATTGCTGCCTTCAACAGATCTCCTCATCTATCTGGACATGGTATTATACATGGTCGGACATGTATTGAACGTTTTAGCACGCGCGAAAAAAATTATCGACAAAAAACGTTTTTTAGAAATGTATTTAGTTTCAATTCGTCGCGAACCCATCAGGTCCCGGTTAAATGATTTTCAAGTGATTGTTAACAGTATAGTTGTGGTACGGACGTTAATATTTTTTCATTATTATTTTTACCCAGTTTACCGTTAACATATTGGTTAGCCGCGGGCTAAGTTCAGAGGGATACCGACACATAGCGTGGACGAAGTGTGTATAGGTAAATTACATTAGGGCCCTTCAGACGAACGCTTTTTCTCGCGCGCCAATACTACGCGCCAAGCATGCAATCAATCGCGACAGATAGACACGTAGCGCGCTAAGATTGTGGTAGCAAATTAACGAACACTCCAGGCGCTCATTCTTTACCTGGTGGTCTAGGAACGTAGGAAAGCGTGGTTGTGTAAAGGGTAAAACTGTGACTTTCACGCACGAATGACGTGGCGTGTGACGTGTTGGAAATATCAACACTTTTGCAGTAAATTATCAGTTGATGGGTTTGTTATCACAAAAATAATAATTATTATTATTATTATAAATTATTTTTATTTATTTATTCAGTGGTGCTTAGCTTAATGTTTTTTCTATATAATAAATTTCCTATTCGTATATAGTGATTTTTGATTTCATAGAAAGGAGGACCTAGTACCTATATTATGCAAGTGTAAAAAGTAATAGAATAGTAATAGAATGTATAAACAACATATTAAGAAAAAGCAATTGGCAATCATGTGTGCTGCTATAAATATATAAATATTTCAACATCGAAGCAAAAAAAAAAGAGATCGCAATTGGTGAAAAATTGGAAACTGGATAAAGCTAAATTTGGAAATTTACCTTTACTCAGTAAAATAAGAGAAAATAACCCAAATGATTTTAGGAATTATCTTAGAATGGATTCTATATCATTTGATGTTTACCTTGATAGTATATTGATATCTGGACTATCGGTATTGATGATATACATATATCGATGCTTTATTTATATCGATAACTGCTTTTTATCGATAGTTAATTATCTTTCGTGCTTGGCGTGTGGAGAAATCATGTACGTGTAATTTAAACAACACTCCAAGATTCAAGGATAAACCACACAGAATACTCGCGATCTAAGTCTGTGGAATAAATGACTTTTAAACGTGCACTCTTTCCCGCGAGTTTGGAATGCCATGTTCCAATCGCTCTAAAAAAAAGCGTTCGTCTAAAGGGCTCTATTGTCGAACCACTATATAAAAAGCATCTCTTCGTAGATGATGTCATTTTTTTAATGTAACCATGACATTTTCGTTAAAGAAATTACCGTTTAACGAACTTATCGCTTGTTTTTATTTAACAGTACTTTTTAAGAAATTACAATTTTTTAGGATACGCACTTGTAATAATCTTAGATATAATTATTCATTTCTGTAAAACATTATTATTTGTATTCGAGTATATAGCTCGTACAATAAAAATGAGTTTTTTAAATGAAAATAGTGTTGTATTTTTTTCACGAATTGTTTTAAAAAAATCTGTTCAGTTTGTTAAATAGATAGGTCTGTATTGGTAAAAAACTAACATTGTGCAGATTAGTATATGTAAATTGTATACAGGTTATAGGTACAATTGTAAGATCAGGACTTTCTGACTCTTCAAGAATTTTTATAAGTCTCCGACACGATTGTTTACTTTTTCTTTTAACGACCTCAACAATTACAACATGGTTGGAATTACAAAATATGATAAATATATAAATACTGTAAAAAATGTGTACTTTTTTCATGTGATAATAATTTATAATTAGTATTTATATCAGTAATTATTTATAATTATTTAATTAAATATCTGTTATTCATTATTTAAAAATTTATCTAAAAGAGAAATTAATCGTGAGTATAAACATTTATAAGTGTAAACAAATATTTATGAAAATGATTCATTGCTTTTGTTTGTTACTTGTAACTTGGCGCTTAGTTTTAATTTCATATGGATAGAAATTTTTTAATTCGACTATGGAGGAGAGTAAATGAAGTACCATGTATTTTGATTTAAGAACTGTTTTTTCGTATGCATTTAGTTGCTTGAAAATAATCAAAATTAAATTTAAAATACCATAAAAATTTTGTCGTTCCCAAAAACAAAATGACGGTCATATTTCAAGTGGAGAAGTCCGTTAATTAGTGGTGTTTATCGAGGAAAGTTTCACTGTGGTATTTCATTATAACTTATGTAATTTATGAACTATGTATTTAATTTTACATATTTAAGCGTGTATAATTTTGTGTGCAATCGTGTTGTGATTTGTTTTATTATACAAGCAATTTAACATTTACTAATCCGTCTAAAATTTTGTTGTACACATTAGCATAATAAATTGTTATCCAATTTCCAAAGAAGTCTTACAAAAAATAATCATATCACGTTATATATGAATATGATTATATATCTACTACTATGATGATACTACTACTACTATGTTAAATCTGATGTTTTTTTTACGAAAATCAGCATAGAACATGATACGTTTGTAGATATTACTTATCTTATTACTATTATTACTTATTACTTATGTCGTTATGAATAATATGTTGAAGTTTTTTTTTTTTAAATATTTACCCGCAGTTTATATACTCCTGGAAGTAATATTTTCCAATACTCTCCATTCTTGGTTGTATTGAATTGGTTTTGCCGGTCCAGTATACTGATAGTAGCATTTGGTATAGGTTTACCGGTTGATTTACTCATAATGATACCTTTAATGCCTCTATGTGATTGTTGCATCCAAATTAAAAGTGGCTGTAATGGTAATGATATATTTTTCAATAAACTTTAGAACAGATTTAATGAATTATAGAAAAAAAAATAAAAATAAATATGAATAAAAATAGACAAGAATGCCAACGCCAAGTAAAATGTTTTAATAAATTACATAATTTACCTTTAGATTATCGTTCCAATGAGATTCCAAAAATGAGGCTGGAGGATATTTGCAACAAGACATTTCTAAAGTAATTTCCATGCATCCATGCCATATGTAATTGTAATCTTGCATGCTTCCTGTGTAAATAAATTAAAAAAATAATAAAGGGGGTGGGATACAGGGATGGGGGATTTAAATAAGTTCTTTTAGATTCAAAATAATTATATCATTGATTTTGAAAAACGATTTTGAGCGAAGAAGGACAAGTCTTAAATGGATCAGTATTTATGTCTTAAGAACAATTATATTACTATTTATAATAGTATAAGTAATTTCATCAATATAATTTTGTAAATAGGTCGTTTAAACCAACTTTTATAAAATAAAAAATAAATTTATCGAAGTCTCTGACTTATAGACTTGCTCCTCACTCTTCAAAATAATTTAAGCCCTCTCTTTCTCCCTTGATTCTCATAATCTCATAATTCTCATAATCAAATCCCTAATTTTTCATATTAGCCTCAATGATAAATTCGTCAATTTTTAATGGGTTCCCAGTAATGTCGGTATAGCCGGCAATGAGCAAGCTGATAACTTGGTTGTTTCCACATAATTCTCTACACATTTTTCCATTTTTAACATTCCTGCTTCCGATCTTCTTTCTATCTATCTTACCAAGAATTAATATGCGATTTTAACCACAATATATTTAACGTTCTTCCTTTCTTCCTAGTAGACAACTTTTTTTTTTCATTCTTATCTTCCTTTGGCTATATAACTCCCCCACTCTAACCTTCTCCTCAACTCCTGCTCCATTTCTATCATTCATTCCATCATTAATTTCATCAATTCTCCCGGCTACCTTATTTAACTGTACACATATATATTTTTATTTATTTTTTTATTTTACCAATTTATAATTTTTAAAAAATATTGTTAAATACTTAAATTCTATATATAACTAATTTAATTGCATTGCTGTGATGTTTCTGTTAAAGAAAAATGAAATAAAAAAAAATTATCTAAGGAAAATCTTTGAACTTTAATGTAATTCATTAAATAATAACAGTTATATATTAATATAATAATAATCCTTTAAAATATTTTAAAATATCTTTTATTTAATATTCCAGCATATTAAAAATTAAAATTTATATTGTAAAAATAGTGATGAGTAGTTATAAATTATTAGAGGCTGGAAAGGAACGTATATGAATTTCGTTTGACGTTTCTATAGAACTTGAAAATAAATGTTCAACCTTTCACTGGATACCAAAGTGCTCCATTTGTAATGCCATCTTTGAATTTTGTATCCTCGTCACAACCTTGACCCAAATGCATTGTTCGATGCGATTTGGCATATAGTTTCGCCAAAAACCGAAATACATCATCGTCCGGTGTTAAACTTGGATTGATTATTGAATCGAAATTTGAAACTGTCCAGAAAAAATGATAAAATAAATCGGTAGGAAAAACAATAAAAGCATTTTCACTAAAGTATTAATTTAGGGTTTTTAGTTAATTTACCGCAAAACCATTTATTAAGTATTAATGTTATAAATAAAATACTAACAACTATACGAACATTACTAACCTTAGTTTAAAATTACGTACATTTTTCTTGTTAAATAACTCTTTAATTAATTGGTCAAACAATGATGTACAACAATGTTGTAAGAGTTATATTTATTTTTATTTATTATAAAAGGCATTTACAATTTGTATATATAATAATACAATAAGTAAATGTCATGACATTAGTACTAGACTTGACAAGCATGAGGGAAGAGAGCGTCCAGTGACATTGTTATTTATAAATAGTTACTAAGTATTATTCAATAAATCACGCGGCCATTTGCGTTTGAGACAACAGAGGTGGTTGTCAGGTATTGTGCAAGAAGAGAGTGTAAATATGAACGGGTTTGGGTGGTTAAAGATGTTTTTATGGAATTTGCTGTAATGATGAGAGACAAGTGAGGATATTGATGGCAAATTGAGGTCGTGATGTAGAGTGTGGTTGTTAATGTACCAGGCCGCATTAGAGAAAACACGGAGAGTTATTGATTGAAACGCTTGAAATTTGATTATATTTAAGTTTTTCGAGGTTCCCCAAAGTTGAATTCTGTCTATCATTGCGGAACGTAAAATTTGTTTGTAAATTAGTATTTTATTAGTAAGAGACGTTTTTGATCTAAGAAGTGGTCTTAGTTTGTGAAGCTTGAGGTTAAAGCGAAGTTCTTTAAGCTTTGATGTGATCAGTCCAAAAACAGTAAATAAGTCTTAAAAATTGAATCACAATACATAATACGTACATGTAATGTTTGATAAGTTTGTGGATCATGCATTTTAAGCTTTCTAATTATATACTATGGCATGTGACACTAGAAGTTAAGATTGTGTTTGTATTTTGCAATGTGCATTCATACTTAAAGTGAAATTTATTTTGATATTTTTACCATTCATATAATATGCTAAGTATAGATCCATTATATTGTCAATCTGTAATGTTTCGTTTAGTTTCTGCAACTTGTCTAAATCTGTTATAAAATACAAATGTATATCTTTGACAAAATTAAGTCTTTTCAATGTATATTTGAACTAAGTATACAATATTATAAAACATAAATTCTAAATAAATCATATACTTCTTAATATTTAAGCTTACTATACAACAATTTAAAAATCCATGTTCTTAACATTTATTAAAATTAACTAAAAACTATAATAGATAATGTTTTATATTATTCTAAGATACATTTCGAATAGGGTGTGAAAACAAAATAAATTCAAATAATTGAATGTATGTATTTTTTTTTATTAATATATTATTTGTTTGAATAATATAAAAATAAGTAAATAATACATTGCAATAAGTAACTATCGTGTTTTCAGTTTGATCGATTTATAAGTAGTATAAGTTATAATAAAATGTATTTTATCTTTTAAAAATATTCATTGGTTTGTTTTGACATTGAATATAAAACAAATTTCCTAATCGTTACGATATCTGTAAGGGAATTATATATGGTTTGATATTTAAGGAGATATAAGTAAAGAAGAATTAAAAGAAAATAAATAAAGACTTTAATATTTACCATTAGTAAATATTAAATACTAAGTCCTGAGTCATTTATTAGGTATTTAAATCAAGAGGTACAAGAGCAAATCAGCCATCTTTTCCCCAAATAGCATCTTTGGTTATGCATATATTTATATATTTTTATATTTTCAACGGTGCATTTAATAGCTCTATTATATCATTTTATACTTACTCGAGTCAACTGAATCGTCGTAGGGATAATTGGCAACCAAGGCACCACCATGTAATCCTAGAGACATAACAAATGGTATCGATTTTAACCATTCCATGATTGCTTTAGTTTCTGGTTGCAGTGGTACCGTGTGTGGATTAAACCCACTGGGGAAATTTCTGTTTAAATCGAAAGTATTAGCGTTCAATCTGAAAAAATATAACAATGCATAGTTAATATTTTGGAGTCATTCTTCTCGGCTTATGTATCTTGGATTAGGAAAACAACTACTAGTAGGACCTTAACTGTCCTATTTAAATTTTCAAAGTATAAGTGTTAAATATGGAAAGTGCCTTTTCAGTCAATGACTCAATTATAACTTTTTGTTTTCAACTATTTCTTCTCTAGGATACTTTTTTTCTTATTTAAGTCTCATTTTTAATCCCTGCTCTACTATTATGTTATTTTCAACCACTTTCTAGTGAGAAACTCCGATTCTCTATTTATAGTTTATTATTCTTTCCTTAATTATATCTAATTTTTCCTTCTACCACATACTATTACTTTTTTATTTTTTATGCTTCTATAATTTATCTTGTATATCTTGTTGTGTTATTCTATGATGACTGTTGTACCATAATATTTATTTTATAATAAAGAAAAGTATATATAAAATAAAAATAAAAAAAAAATTAGTTAATTAAAAACAAATATCAAAAGTAATATAATACATATTATTTATAATGTGTTTAAATCAATTTATAATTTAACATAAGTATTACCTAGAACGGGTAAAATTCGCAGGCAATGTCATTCCGCTAGATGGACAAGGCTGAGGTTTGGAAAATTCAAATCCATCGGGGTTCATACTAGGTAATAAGTGGATAACAGTAGTTCGTAATAGTTTGTTTATAACTTTGTTTTTTGAATTGTTCTCCAATAAATACTAATGATAAACAAAATGAAATAAAGATACATAAGTGCGGTTGTTGTATTATATATAAATATACATATAAGCAGTGCTGTAACTGAACTACTCGAGGCCTGTGTGCAAATTAAAATCTTGAGATCCCCTATAGTTGTACATTTTTGAGTATTTGTCTTTTGAGGTCCCATAATATGATATGAGACCTGAGGCCTGCGTGCAATGCACATTCTGCAAACTCAGTTTTTACGACACTGTATTTATATAAACATATTTTTTTTAGACCAACAATATTTTAATTTGTTGAAAAATAAAAAATATTTAAAAATTAGTTACTAATTTATTGTTAATAAAAAATAAAAAAAATGTTAATGTTATTAATGTTTATTAATTATTACAGTGTGTAAGAATAAGTATAATGGTATGATTTACTTCGATTTTATTGTAATCTTATAGTTAATTACTTATTTAATTATTGTTGGATGTTCGTATTAAAACGAGTGTGCTCGATATTTTCATCGTCTTACCTGTATTAAATGTAAAGTTATTTCTCTTCCGACGGGTTCATTTCCGTGTATATTTCCAACGATTTTGATATTCGGTACACTTAATAGATCGGTCGCAGTAGTCAATTTGACGACCCATAATTCACGATCTTTTAAAACATGTTAATGTGTCGTTATTAAAATAACGATTCATTGTAATAGTTTATTATATTATATAAATATTATTAGTGATGCGTTATATTTGTGATATATATTTATTATATATATAGTATACAGTACATGGGCGTTCTCACGAGGGGGGAGGAGATAGGGGGATGAATCCCCCATGGTCTTCATTTGTTTTTAGGTAAGATGGAAATTTAATATTTTATTGAAAATTAATTATAAATAAAAAATTTTTTGACTCGATATCATTTTCTATGCGAATATTCAGACTTGTAAAAGATACTTTTAAAAAATATTCAAGTACAAATACAAATACTTTTAACAAGTATTTATAAATACTTTCAAATACTATAATCTCCACTCGAATATAAGCTACATACCATGATTTATAGTGACTGAATGGTCCAATTAATTAAGATAAACTGTATATATACTTACTTTGAACTGACTTTCCAATCGAATACAATGAAGAAATGTTAGAAAACTCTTTGGTTATGTTTTCCAAATAATCAGTCATCTCCATATAGTTATGATATTTATCGAATCTTATTCTATACGACACCGAAGATGCATTTGATATGGTCGCGAAAAGAAGCATAATAGCCGTAAAATAACGCATATCGATTTATTTTTAAATCATAAAGCACACGTCAATGATAATTATATTTTGTTGCACTTTCTCATTGAGAATTATCGACGATGGTATGTAAATGTTCTACTCCTAAACGAATAAAATTTTCGTATAAACACATAATTTATTATATTTAACGAATTGATGGCATACAATGTGAATTTTAGAATAGATTTAGGATATTATATAACATACCTTATTCGTTGCAATATTCATTGTTATATATTTCATGTGTCGATGAAATAGTTGATTTAAGTATTTAGGATTATGCTTTTAGATGAAATATTTGACTCGTCGTTAAATGTAAATAAAGTTTAAAAAATTAGTACCTATTACTCTTGGAAAATATTATGTTGCTCATACCTTTCAGACCTATCAAAAATAAACATACAATTACAAGTATATTAAATTTCACAATGTTTAATAACTATGAATTGAGGTAAAATATTGACTCTTGTACGCTGTGATTAATAACTACCTATTTATATATGTACATTCGTATAAATATATTCGTATATTGTATATACATACCTATATGCGAGATCGGCGAACGTAATGAAACGGCGAATGTTGCAGTAGCAGTCTGATGTGTTGCACAGAGGTACGTCGTAAGAAATGCACTACTGCGACTTAATGGTAATAATTATCAGTGTCCCACGTACATTTTATTTTTAATAATATTATAAATTTTATTGGCAAAAAGATTGACACTCACAATAAAAATCTGTCAGTTCGGAGCAAATTATTTAACTTGACGTCGTCGTCGTGCCCACACGTGACTAAATAATATAATACATCTAGTTTATACCACGCCGTTGAAAAAAAAAAAAAACAAGATAATAAAAAAAAGCCGTATCTACGGTCTTGAAAACACAACGGAGGACTTCCACAATTCAATATCGGAACGTCATAAATATCATACGCGCGTGTCGATTATGCGTATGAGTTATGTGTATGCCTATACTATATAACAAGTATGTATCAATCTGTAGGCGCGTGTCCTGAAAAAAAATATATCATAAAATGTCATATTATTATTCTACGAGTGGTGGTTATTATAATCATCGTAAACTATATAGCGTGTGCGATGGCTGGAGAAAGGATTTAAAATATCGTGTCCAACGCATTTATCTAACATATTTTCGTGATCGATTAAAGTGGAAAAAAAAAGAGTAGTCGTTTCAATGATTCAATATATCTTAACGATATAAATTTTTTTTTAATTCTCTAGGTTGATTTTAACTTGAATAGGCGAACAATTTTATTCGACCACCATATTTTTTAAATCAACTGAACAATTCGCATACCGACAAAAAAAGTTTTCGTTGAACAATATCCAATACAGTGCTGCTGGTTTAAAATTATATTCTGTTATTTTTGATTTTTGCATTGAAAATGAAAATATAAGCCAAATAGATTATGCCAGTGATCAGTAAATATAATAACAATTGTACTACATTTTAAATTTGATTTGGGTATAGGTGACTACTTAAATATATAACGATACGTTGTCGCGGTAAAGTATTTTTAAATTGCTTGTATATTTGTGGTTTCATATGATTAGTTTTGCATAAATATAATTTTATATACGCTGTGACGCAAAACCATTCTTAAAACTTGACGTTTAAGATCCAATTTTGTTACACAAGACCTAAGTATATACACATCAACACTAGACTCGTGATAAAGTATTGACTTAAGCCCATAAATAAATTATAATTTTTAATTTAAAATCAGATAAAGAGAAAAATATAAAAAAAAAATACGTTCTATAAGTGCTTAGCGTGACATTTATAATTTTAATTCAGTTTATTTAAAAATATTGGATTTTTTTTGTAATATTAAGGTATTTTCTGGAACTACAGGAACAGTATTTAATTATTGAATCAAAAAGTCGAATACTGATTCGTTACGTTTATAGTATGTAAAATATGTATAACTGTTTTGATTGATCGAGATGAATCATCTTACCCAAATTGCCAAATTGTTGTCTTACACCTATAGGATTTGAAAATTAAATGGGTGAAATGAGTGTGTGATATAATTATCCACACGTGCAGTTTGCAGTGGTCGAGGTTTAATTGTTAAAACATTTACGTATTCATTTAGAGATAAAATTTACTGACATTTCATTAAACGGTGTATTAATATTTTATTAGATACCGGTTCATGCACTGCTTTTTGGTACTAATCCTTATTATTTTATTGTTACCTATCTTTATCGTTGGATATTAGCGTATAGCTAGTTAAACAAGATATTGTTGTTAATAATGCATTATGTACCACTTGAAAAAGAAAAAATTAGTTTATCTAAATGTCCCGAACATCATATTATTAAATTTTGACATATAGTGTGCATCATGTGCTATGCTTCAAAGTAAATAAGATTAAATTCATTATACATTATTGAAATATATTTATTGTATCCTGTTTGGACTTCTCTGTAGCTTATCATGTTTAGTCATTTGATTTACATTGAACAAAACAAAACACCAAATCACGTTATAGCAAACATTAATTAAGAATTTTAATTTATTGATTTTTGTTAATAATCGGCGGTAAAATATTCGGCCGCGTAGAATTTAATCATTGTAAAGGTGTGACGCGTGACATTACTATATTGTGACATGAATATGGCTTTAAAAGGGTTTAATGTCTTGCCTTTTTTTTTAACTGTCATTCAAACGTTCTTATAAGCAGTGCATTTTTTTAACTAGTTAACTAGGCGACACAAATGTCGCCCAGTGATTACACTCTGTCGACAGTATTTTAAAAGATTGGGCGAAATAAACGTATAATACTATAATCGTACTATGGTATTATACATTGACTATTTTGAGAAAAACATTTTTTGTCCACCAGTGAAAATTCCTTATAAAATGCACTGCTTATAAGCTGTACCTATATAATATTTATCGTTTGAGAAAATAAATAAAAATGTAAGAACAAAAAAAATTGTATTTATCAGTTTACATTTTAAAGACAAATAAATCTTTCCAAAGTACCTTATCGAAAGCCTTTTCTAAGTCCATTAACGCTATAAATGAATTTTACTAAATTCTATTTGTTTTTCTACTAATATTCTTAAACTTAAGATTGCTTTTCTAATACCTTTGTTTCTTCTGAATCCAAATCGATCGTTGCCTAATTATTTTTCTACTATGTTCTCAATTCGATTTCATATTATTTTTACTAGGATTTTGATTGCGTGTTCTGGCTTTTGGATTACGTGAAGGTATTTGGGATACTAATTTTTACGCGAGAAAAGTAAATAATATAATTATGTAATATATAATAAGGTATTTAAAGAGATATACTTATTATATTTACATATACTTTTATATATATATATATATATGTAAAGAATACATATATCCCTAAGTAGTAGTAGTTAATTAAACTTTCTAATCTCATTTAATCAAACCTTGTGCTTTTTATAATAATTCAATTCGCCCTAGCTCTCTTCTTTCATAATAAAATATAGATTCTTAACACCTTAATTTATATTTTATTATGATATAATGTAATCAATCGTCTCACTAATTACCCTATTCATTGTTTTACCATAACATGTATACATATCATCCTGGCCTATGACATTTACTGATTTATTTTAGTGAATAAACTTTACACGTGATAGAAAAAAAAATCTTGCCAATCAAAAATGCTACTGTAATATAGTAATAAAATATTTTTCTTTTAGTCGGACACTATTATGTAAGAGGAATACAATATTACAAATACTTAATATATTATTTATAAATTATATTTAATTTAAAATTTTTTATTAAATCTTTGATTTATATAATATACTTACAAGTTATTATTATATCAATGAAAATAAGAAAAATCCATAGAAATCTTATAATTTAATTTCGAACATCAATGGTGAACGTTAAAGGTCTATCGTGGTAATCGTGAGAAAATGATTCCATATTATAAAAATTTAATTTAGTTATGGACACCGAAGAAAATACTAAATCAGTATAAACATATTTTAAGTTGAAAATTTATTTTGTAGAATTATATTAAATCATATGTTATACCATGATATAGTATACTGCCGTATGCACTTTTCAGAAGAATACAACAGGTGATCATAACACATGAGTTCAAAGGCAAATTGTGAATATAGTTAGGTATGAGGTCTTATAGTGCCGTAACTAAACTACTCGAGGCCTGCGTGTAAATCAAAATCTTGAGGCCCGTTTTTACTATATATTTTTGAGCATTCGAGGCCCTATAAATAGTATGGGGCCTGTGTGCAATACATATTCATTCTGCATGCTTGGTTTTTACGACATTGAGTCTATATGTATACTTGATTATAATTGAAATAATTCACAAGCTTTTATTAATGTACGACATATTATTTTCAATTACTAATTTATATATTTATTATTTATTGGAAATAATAAAATTGATTACTTATATGTTTAGACGAAATAATAATAACTGTTGTGAGAAAATTGAACGACGGAAATTCATTTTATAGAAGTTATTCGATAGTGGATATTCGATAACCACTATATTTTATTTATAATAGTAAATTTAACAAATTTAAGTTATAATAATTCTCAATAACATAAACTTTTATTGATAGTATTTTCAATTATTGTTTTTGTTTGATAATTAACAAGCGCATTATTGTATGGTCGTATCAAAGACAAAATAATTATCGCTATTAACATAGTATAGTTTTTATTTTATTTATGATTCATTTTAATAGAAATATAATAATAAAAATTAATACACATCAATATTTTTTCTGTACAAGTGAATTAAATTATTATCGTGTACTTATTTCCAAAATGAGAATAGCGATTTAAACGATAATTATTTTTAAATAAAACATTTTTTATGATGGTAATATAATAGCTCTATTAAAGATAATAAGCAGAGCTCGTAGGTTCATATATTTGCATATCAATCTTGCAAAATTGTATTTAATGCTAGATGACACAGAAATCCATTTCAAGGTACCACGGTTAAATATGTGAAATCTTATTTTGCATGTTTTTGCATACCTATTTGACATGTTTTTGAATATTTGGCATACATATTTCTATAGAATTTATAAATTTTATCGGGCATATTATACAACATTCTATTAGAATCTATCAAAAATCTAATTGGAAAATATATATAAAATTAAAATTAAAATATTATATTTTCTTTTTTATCTTCTTGATACTCGTACATTTAATGAATAAAAAAATTAATAGATAACTCATGTTACTTCAAAAATTATTTATGATTTTTTTAAATTATCATTTTTTACTTGCATAATTTTAGATATTTAGTACATATAAATGCATATTTTTTTTAACTTTTAAAGGCATATCCAGTGGCGTATTTACGGGGGGGGGGGGGGGTACTGGACCCCCCCAGAACCTCTCCAAAAAATAAAAAATAAACTAAAATACTTACATATTTGCAGAATTGGCTATGTTAAACATTCACAAGGAAGTTGAAAATACTGTTGATGAAGTGATAGAGGAGTTGGCCAAAAAATCGAGATAACTGGAATTTATTTTATAACAATACTTTATAATATATAATGCTAAATACAATACCTATATATAATATTATATAAGACTATACGATTATTACATTATATATTAAGTTAAACTTCCTCTAAAAACTGCATAAGGACGAACTATTACAATATAATATATAGTTTATATTAATTATGTATAAACTGTGGACCTCCTCCAGAAAAAATTGAAAATACGCCACTGGGCATATCAAAGCATATTTTGCCAATTTTAAGTGCATAAATGCATGCTTATTTAGGACATGAACTTGCGAACCCTGATAATAAGTATTAGGTACTTAATGTAACTGGACAATAGTAAAGTTCATAAATTATTATTATAGTATATTAATGATTTGTTGTGCAACGCAAATGTAAAGTTTTAAGTGAATACGTCGGTTAGTTTGTTTTGCAGTGATTCAATTAAATTAGAAGGGTGTCAGAAACCTGTTACAGAGTATTTTTTATAATTTGTTTATCGATTATAATGCATTTAGAATTAAAAATATATTTTAAATAAACAGCGAAAAAAAGTAAAAATGTTTGGAAACCACTGTTACAGCCAACATAATATATAAATATTATTTTGTTTCATAATATTACATGGCTCTTTGTTTTTCCCATATTTTATTTGAGAGAAAGTACTAAAATGTACAAATAGATATTTAATTATGCAATATGTATTATATCATATACATAGAGAGGACTTCACGTTTTACATTTTTTGGTATTGTACATGCAAAATTGCAAGACATAATTATTAAAACTATAACTAGACTTGATCTATAGCAGCAGCTAAATAAACAGCGTTACTATAATGTGTGGATATTTTTTCATGTTTAAAAAAAAATTCGATAATATGGAACGTCTATCAACAATAATTATTGCATACCTGTTACATGCATATTTTAAAATATTTTAGTACATTTTCAGGTCATAATCCATCCTGCCTTAAATTTGGTTAACCAATACTTTTCAAAAATTGCAGAGGCAGATTGTAATGTGGGGTTCTTTTATTGCAGCCGTAAACTTGTTTATGATCATAACACATTTCCTAGAAAGTTTGTATCAATGATATGAATATTTTGGCACACAGCATTTTTCAGGAAATTCAATATTTATTTGTGAACGTTTAAGGGGAAAGGAAATGAAAGATTAAATCTATAAAAAAGAAAAATAGTCTAATTCAATACATGAAATTGTGTATTGCGTAAGAATTATCATTACTTGATACTTGGCGCATACAATACAATGTATAATACATTAAAAAAAGTTTAAACAACTTTGGGCTTTCATAAAAATTAACAGTTCTTAATAAGTAACTTAACAAAACAAAAATTTAACAAAAGTAATGAAAGTGATAACTAATATAGAGATCAATAAAAAAAAAAAAAACAAATAATATTGGTAAATAAATATGAGGCTACATAAGCAAAATAATAAAAATATCGTAAGGAACAGTAATTAACCACTTTTAATAATACAATTAGGGTAACAATAGAAGGTATGATTTCTCTAAATACAAATAATTTGTTGTAAAGAAATAAATAATTAATAATCATATGGACACACATTGGAAAAAATTAACATTTGAATATTAAAGTTAAGTTTTTTTTTAAAAAAAAAAGTGGCTATGCATATAATATTATTATTATAAATCATCTTAATATACCATCAAATATGTTTTTATATAGAAAAAAACCATTGAAATAGAAATATTACATTTAACAGAATATTTATTGCTTAAGCCTATAAAACAGTAATTATAATAACTGATTATTACATTTAATAAATACAAATTTCTACTTAGTTTTGGTCAATTAATTCCAAATTCAAATTAATATTTAAAACTCTTTATCAACTAATTTACAATTTCATTAATATTTATACATGTATGTATGTATTTATAATATGTCCATAGGATTTAACAATATAATAATAATTATTAATGTTACTTAATATTTGAAAGTTTTTAGACCAACTACCAATTATAGTAATTATAGGCTTCATTCTACATAACTGTTGGCGGTAACACATTATAGTCTTGTATAGTTGATTTAACTGTTTCATAAAGGGGACGGTTATCATCTGAAGTTGATGAACTCAAATGATTATAGCCTACATATTCGGAATTTGGATTATTGCACAAGGTCTGTAACTTGGTCAGATAACTGTCAAAGTGTTCTTGAGTCTTTTCGGAACCTGATTGTCCATCAGGACATCGAACTTGTTCCAAAAATGTCATCATATTGTTCCTTAGGTTTTCATAGTACCCATTCAAATGGGAACTTTGTCGTTGAGATAAGATTTGTGTTTCCTGTAAGTACGTAAAAATATCAGGTTGTTACAAATACTTAATAATTAATTTGGTAAAATTGTGGAATATTGCTGTAGTATTTCTATTATTTCATCAGAGCACCTTTTTGGAGCGTTTTTGTTTGTTTGGATTGATTGACACTACCTTGGGCCTACCTTATCCCCGTGTCGAAGATGAGCCTCCATAGCATTGATGTCAGTCTTCAATCTCAACATTTGGGATTCGACGCGTGCATTTTCTCGCTGCAATTCTGTTATTTCAGCATCCAAAGTAAAGAGATCTTCACCACCGTTCCCCATATTACAATCTAAAAACCACAACTTTTTTACCTTTTCTCCTCCTCAATATTTGACTTTTTCAAAATTGTTAAGATCCCACAATTTTACCAGGAAAAGACAATATTAATACTATTCTCACCATTATGAAGTTGTTTCGAGCCGTACATGTGATGATATAATGAATCAGCGGCATTTGATGGAATTGGTTTCTTGCCGGATGCTAAATTTGACGCAGAAGGATGACAAACACTAAGGGTTGGTGCACCTCGATGAAGAAATGGACTGGGATTTAGGTGTGATGGTTCACAGACAGTTTGTTCAGATTGCTGGTGATGATGTTGTTGTTGTTGCAGTTTAGCTATATTAGCTTTATGTTGTTCAACAGTTCCTCCACTTTCAAGAACACGCATCTTGTTACGGTTTGCAATTGGACAGCCAGATGCACTAAAATTAAAAATTAAATGTTATTAATAAATATCAATTAATTTAGTTAATAGTAAATCTTAAATAATTTACCTTCTATGCGATAGAAATTTACCAGTAGCGTGTCCAGAACCGTCACATCCAGGTATAGGGCATCTACAACATATTTTAAACATAACTAACAGTATCAACTATAAAATTTCAGTTACTAACCTAAGTGGTTCAGAATCTTGACCATCTCGTGGTTTACTTTTTGGCTTATTTGCTCGAGGACATCCAGATAAGGATCGATGAGAAGAATAATTTCCTGTTACATGACCAGATCCATCACAGCCTGGTGTTGGGCATTTAAGCTCTTGTGAATGTGTTGAAGATATTCCTGGTTGTGATGAAGAACGATCACTTCTTGCACAAACAGAAATGCTATGGAAGAAAAAACATTATTCAAAATAACTTATTTCAATACAAAATATTCTTACTATAATTATACTGAATGTATAAAAATATAATAATAAAAAATTAAATTAAATAAAAATTGTTTGTAATTATCGAATCATTTTTGTTGTTTCATTAACTTTTTTTCTATAAAAGTCAAATTGTAAGATGATGTTAAAAACTAACAAGATTTTTAACCAGCCGATAAAGCTATGTAAGTTTAAGTACCTAAATTATTATACATCAACATCAGAACTAAATTCTGAATTAAAAATCATTGATTCATCTTCATCTATAATGCTTTCTTCCTTTAATGTGTTTTCCTTTGTAGTAATTGTTGAATTTCTTTTGAGAGAAAAACAGTCTTTTAAATATTGTGATCGTCTTGTTACTTGGTCTAACCCTAAACAAGCAGTCATGAAATTATCCAAAAGCTCTGGTGTACGGTTTGGATGATTTAACAATAACACGAGACATGATCGAGTTGTAAACACATTGAAATCAGTTCTTAAATTGGGCGATTGTAACAACATTAACAGTAGTTCTTTGTATTGGTCCCAATCACATGTTAACAAACAATGTCTCATCTCTCTTAAAATTGGGGTCAAGCTGCTATCTGTTGTGCTTGTTGGTTTTCGACTGCAATAAAAAGGTAAATGTGTCCTGTCGGCGCAAATAGAAATAACCCGCGTGGCAGATGATTCACAATAATTGGCAATGATTTTCGCTTTTTTGGCAGTTTGTTTTTGTGGTTGTAATATCATATCGATCGTTCTTATCAAGTAACTTTTAGGTAAAACTTTGCAAATTTTAGGAACAACTTCGTCGTCCGAACTGCACGTGGTTGTAGTTGTATTCTCCATTTTTCAAACAATCGATTTTAACCAACGGAAAAAAAAAAGATACTCGAATATGCAATAATAAAACAGTGGTAATAGATAAATACTATAAATGGAATATGAAGTAGAATATTTAGAACACGTAAGTAGTCAACAGCATTGAATAAATAAAAGGAACACAGCAGATATTAAGCTATCAAATTACCTCGACTTATCTTATTAAGACTTATCTGTTGGATGCCGTTTCGAATGATAGTCGAGTACAGTGTGACCACAACTGAGAAAATATTTAGACGTAAGACTCTACTGATGGCCCACGCTCTTGTTGTAAATTATTAATTAAAATGACTTTTAAAGCGATCATGTTCCTAAACAATTAATTTTTTTCATGTTTTTTGGTACTTATCGAGTATTCTGTTATGTTAAACGATTCAGTATAAATTATAAACAAAGCCAATTGCTCAATACTTAAATAATGCTGTAAGTGTACACGTGTTATCAGGCGCGTAGCTTGGTATTTCAAAAGAGAGGTGTTATAATTATAATTTTATTATTAGTATTACTCTATGGGTGTTATTCAAAATTATACATAACAAAATAATTACTTTACGTATACTTTATTGTACAAGCATACAAATACATTCAAGCAGCGTCTAAACTACAAGTTAGGAGGCCCGTGTGCGGTAATTATATTGGGCCCCTTTCTAGGATTTATTTTTGTTGTACGTCTTATTTATAAGTATCAATTTTTGTAGGTTGTAAAATACGTTTCACATCAGTTAGTGTATGATATATGTATATACATAAAATTAAATACCTACAATTGTTGTATATTATACTTCATTACATATTAATGTAGTAAATTAATTTAAGTAGTTTAGGTAGGTATGTTTTATGCCTACTTAAATACTCAATAGACTAATTGTCAAATAAATATTATATTACTCTAAAATATTATAACATCCTTACCTGTATTTTAAAAAGTTTCTTTTTATTATAACATAATAATATAATATTGATTAAATAATTGTGTGTTTGTAAAGTATATTTTATTTTAGGCTGCGACAAGGAGGCCCTACAAATGTATGTAAGCCTAGAGGTCCATGTGCACGGCACAATCTACACACCTGGATTTTGCAGCACTGCATTCAAGGGTGTATTTGAGGGGGTGAAGGGGGCATTGGCCCCCACATGGCTCGTATTTTTTTTTGAATATAATACATTGATTTATTTAAAAAATATAATGTTTAAATAATTAGGAATACAAATTACTATTCTAACATTATAATATAATAATAAATTTGATAATATGTCAATTTGGTCACGGGTATAAATTTTTGTTTATCTTATTATATCATAACATTTTTGGTTGTGGGACGAATAGTGGTATTATCTTCCACGGATATTTTTACGGTTATAGACATTTACAACCAACGAGCGTCTAGAGATAGCACAAGAGTAAATATCTTATCAATTATCATAATACTATAATCGTTAAAAATTTTCAAATCGCAAAACGTTTTTTCAGTTTGAAATTTTTTAATTTTTTTTGTGAGTTGATTTATTCAAATATGTTCGAGTGCGCACATTTTAATCGTCAATTTAGTAATAAATGCAATTTAATTAGGTATATAAAATTACACATGGAGGGACGCACCATTAAAACTTCAAGACCATTGATTGATGCAGAAATTGAATTAAATATAATTAATATACATTTTGTTTCATTTCAGGGTAAATATACTACTTGAATTATTTGAACAAACACTCTGGACCCCCCTCTCCAAATACGGCCTTGTGGGTAGGTATCGACAAAATTTACTTGTCTCTGAAAATTGTTGAGTTCGCCACGCCACTGGTGTCTTTTAATTATGACGATTATAATATTATAATTGATAAGATATTTGTTGTTGTGCTGTCTTTAGACGTTCATTCACAACTATAACTGAGGTATTTATTAGATAATATAAAGTAATTTAAAGTAGTGATGGGCATAATTGACTGATTTCAATAATCGAATTATAAGTATTCAAGATATTTTTATAACGAGGGATGTCTCAAAATAATCATTCGAAATGTTTAATTGAAATATAAATATAAATATAATATAATTTTATTTATAAACTTTCTGAGAAATTTTTGTTGTTTTGTGGTTGAGTAATTAAAAAATTATACCTATAGGTAATATAAGTAACTAAGAATAACTGTATACCCATAAATGTTTGTTTAACAACCAGTCCCACGAGTAGCACGAGTCGAAAATACAAAGACTCAAAGTGAACAACTAGTATTTACTTATTCGATTATAAAGATTAATATTTCTTTGTTACTCCTTCGTTCTATGAAAATCATTCGAAATATTTTTTCATTTGATACACATTTCGAGATCAAGAATTCATTGTTTTTAAAATTAACGAGATATCACTTTAATAATTTTACTTGCCTATTTTTTTTTACAACATAATATCTGGTAGTTTTTGTTGTGCATAGGTATTTAGTCATTTTTTTGTTTACAAATGCATGAATATTTGTGTATTTTATAGAGCTAGCCCAAATAATAATTTTAATAACTGATAATATTTGTTTCCATATTCTTTAACTTGCAAATATTGGACAAAAATATATTTTTGTAAATTGAAAACATGGTAAAGATCAAGAATAAGCTAGCATAGACTAACAGGTTTGGCATTGCTGCATGCGCATAAAGAAATTATCGGAGTTTCCCGATTGTGGCCCGAATTCAGGTAGTCGTATTTTATCCCAAATATAAGTATCCCGATTGCGTCCAGACACACATTGGTTCACAAAATGTTTAATATTTATTTTAAAAGTATAATTACAAGATTGCAGTAACAAATAGTAAAATAGTAAAATAATAAATTTTTTACAATATATAAAGATATGAAATACAATTATGTCAGTTAATAGTCAATAAATAGTCGAATATTAAAATAATAAATTGTCTACAATAAAAAAATAGTTAATAGTTGTATACATCCATGGAAATGACCACGCCGAATATTGGTTATCGTGTGAATCGTGATTACGATGTCAAAATACGTATCGAACGCAATTGAGATATTTATTTGGTTTTGATAACCACTTGAATAGTAATTCCTACCTGTTATGTACAGGCCGCAATCGGGATAGGTGAAAAGGTAAAAAGGTTACTTTGGGCCGCAATCGGGCGACGCCCGATATTATTGTATCCATTGATGGAATAATCAACAAATTCGCGAAAATGAAAAAAAGAAATTTGGAATTTGTTATTTGATTATTTACCAACCTTGTGTTTTTTACTTTGATATTTGTTAAATTAAGTTACCTATCTTAATTGTTTTTTAAAGTTTTTAAAAAATAATTAATAGGTACTATTACTACTAGGATTATTTGTTGTTTTTTTTTATACAGGATTCAGACTGAAGGTACAATTTTAATATTAGAACTATTTGTGTTGTTACTATTAATACTTATTTTATATGTAGAAGGTTTTAAGCATATTTATTAAATAAATATTTGATTCAATTTGGTATTTGTATTTTTATTTATTCAATCGAATGAACAACAGGAACATGAGCTGTAGGTAATGAAGCAGAGGCGTACTCAGGAATTTTTTAGGGGGGGGGGCCCAACATTTTTATTTTATCTACTCTCTAATTATAATTATAGTTTAATTCAGTACCAACAAATCACTGTTTATAACTATAGTAATAGTCACAATAGTTATACACACATCACACATATTCTTCACAAAGGCTTATTATAATAGGTAAGTACTAAAATTTGAAATCAATTTATATTTGGTAGTAAAATGTAATAAAAAAATACACTATTTAATTAAAAATAATAAATAATATTAAAAAAGCAGTATAAATTAAACATAGTTTATACATTATAGGTATATTATATAATCTATAAACTGTGTATATTGAAGATAATAGAAATTTAAAATACACCATGTACTATTTACTATGAAATCATTGAGTATGTAGAAATGTCAATGGGGGGTCTGGACCCGAACCCCCTCCCCCAAGGGGACGTTACTGTAATGAACCATAAATTATTTTTAAGTTTGTATTGAAAAAAAATTAGTTTCGCCCCCCCTCCACGGTCTCAACTCAAATACGCCCTTGAAGACATTAGTTACTAATGATTAGTACATTATACATGAATATCTATTAACAGATTGTATGAGAAAGTATTTAAATATTTTATTAAAATTTCAAATTTACACTATTGTATACATGTGTACCTATTTTAAATTGCACATGATACGGCATAAAACAACGGCTTTGGTTTATCAAACAAAACGGTGTACCTATTGAGAAGCTGGATCCCGGCTATACATTATTGTTATGTACATATTTCGTTATTATGTTTTCATCACGGTTTATGATGAATTTTTACCTTTGCCAGACTTCAGTACAATACGGTTAAGGGGGGGGGGAGTGTTACTTCACCTTTAACACCCCCTCTCCCCTGGCTATGCACCTGAGTGTTATAACCGTTAAGATAGACAATTATGTACCAGATTCATCCATGATTTTTATTTTCGTTTATTTTCTTTGATACATAATTTCTAAATATTATTGCGTCTTCCGTGTGTACAAAACACGACGACGTTGCGTCAAATATGGTAAATGTGTTACGTACCTGTCGTCTTTGGACGAGACCGAAAGTTTGTCTTGCTGAGGTGGCGGCATGCTGTAACACGGGTTTTGCGAGAACCCGTTTGGCGGAGCACCTTGCTGATAGGTGCCGGTTGAATAGCCACACGAGTAAGCTGATGTGCTGTACGGGGTCGAGTAACCATTTGCATACTCCGGCATCGGGTATCCGGGATGAGGGCTCAGAGACGTGTACCCTGCATAGGACCAAAACACGAAGAAAGGCGTAAAAACTTATATCATACACAAATTCCGACGATGTGGTATCGGCACACGTCCAATGGGGTGGTCAACTGTTTTTTCGATTACGTATTTGAGTGAGGTGCTGTGAGCTGATATTTTATAATCCTCTCGAAACATAGTTGTACACAATATCTGTGCACTTAATGAATTCAAAATCAAGACGAGTACGGTACGAGGGGTAAAGTTAACATAGATGTTAACACAAGTAAGCATGGTATACGAAAAGAACAAAAAATGTAAAAAATGAAGTCCAAGGGATGTCTCGTCATCCTACTACATCTCATTCGACCGCCCTTGAACGTTTACCGCGCATTGTGTGTAAAAACCCGTACCGTTGACGTCCCTGTAATGGTCCATGTAATGAGAACCTCCGCTCTCGGGTGTCGACTCCCTGCTGTATCCATTAGGCGGCCCGCCAGGAAACACAAGTCTGCCAGGTGCCCTGTAACGGAAATAAAGGATTGTAAACGTCATTGTAAACGGTCTGGAAAGTTAATCACAAACAACACCGTCGTACCTGTTGACGCTTAGATCTAAAGTCTGGCCTTGAGGACTTGGCACCTGATTGACCTGCGGACTGGATGTTGAAGTATTCGGGCTGGTGCGATGTCCAGCGGCTCCTGCGTAATGGTGCGGGCTCAGGCTGTTTGAATACGTGACAGTCTGCACATAAACGACAACGGTATGTTATACAGCATTTTACACACGTAATATATATATATATATATATATATATATGGGTACTAAAAGAAATTATTATTTTTAATTATTATTGTTTTTATATTGTTTTACGCGATTATTATTTTAAACGTTAAATGAAATGAGTGACGAATTGGTTTTACCACAATATGTTTTTTTTGTGTGTCTGTGTGGACGATTTCGACTCAAAGGAGTAGTCCGATCGTGATAATTGTAGAAGTAAACGATTAGTCTCGGTGTCCAGTTGGTAATATGGGAGATAATTTTACGAATTTTCTCACTGTTTTGTTATTAATGATGAAACATGGACGAAAAGGTATAAAGAAAATATTTGTATACTAGTTTTCGACAAAATCGAATTTTTGTTTGTATTCTAACGCAAAAAACAATATTTTTAAAGACATGACATTTTTACTGTATGTATATATCATAGTTCATTATAATTTTCAAAATATTTTGTCTCTTTTTGAGCTATTTATAGATAGTGAAAAATGTCATGTTTCTTAGTTTCCTTTGTAAGATGCTGATATAGATACAGATAAATATAATCTTACTGATTAATTAAAAAAAAATAGAGCTTTATTTCAATAAAAAAAAAACGTTATAAGTGTTTGAATAATTAATTTTCCCAAAAATCGACAAAAGTAACAAAAATACGCTACATTTTATTAGTTAGATTCGTTAGTTCGATAGTTAAGATTCGTAATAGTTTCATTTTTATAATTTAAGCTTAAAAATTGTATAAAAGATTTTTCATAAGATTTTCTATGTAGCTATAAAAAAAAATTATCAGAAAGTCGTAAAAACGTTATGAAGGTGTTAATAAATGAAATTTTGATGAAATCGAGTATTTAAAAAAATTTCTATTATTCTATTATATAGTAATTTATAATTATTTAATTTTATAATTAGTTAATTGGCTGTAAAACGTATTAATTGTAGTGATTCAAAATATTAACTATAGTTATGAAATATTTGAATTATAATATTGCCGTTTTTAAGCATACGCAATTTTCCATTTTTTTTAATTTTAATCAATTACAGTTTGATAATATGAAGTGACGTAATATCTAGATTACCTAGATACCTATTTTTTTGCAATATTTAGAATATTAAAAGTTAAACCTTCCATATATATTAAAAGATTTTATAGAAAAATAGCTACCCAGATCCACCCAACCTCTTTCATTCTGAATCGTTTCTTCTAGAGTAATGGTACATTGATTTACATATTTAAAAGATTACCAAACAGTGTACTCGTACCTCACCTGACCGTGGAGTCTCACCCAACATAGAAGTTATGCCCTTTTTATAATTATTTTCATAAGTTTAATTTTAAACAAACTTGGTACATTTAAATTATTACTTCCTCATCGATTACTATCAAGTATAATATATATTATATGACTCGTGATGCGTCTTACAAAAGAGTTTTAATTTGTAAACCATAAATCGATAAATATAGGAAGTAATAATGATAATAGAAATATCGTGATAACAGTAATATTCTAATACGTGCGATATTTCTAGTATTTGTATACGCACCAAGGTACATCAAAGACACAAACCGTACCTGTGGACTTGTCGAAGTGACGCTGGACGTGGACAGGTCCATGACTGACATGGTGCCTGGTGACCGGGTGAGTGGTAGCGGCAGCGGTAGCGGAAGTGGCTTCATCCCGGTACTCGCAGCAGCGATGCACTTCACCGACAGATTGATCGCTGCTGCTGTGGGAAAACCCGATTGAACTACCGGGCCGGCAGATGTGGGCGGAGGATTAGTTCCTTCGTATTGGTACAGCGGCCTGCAGCAAAGCGGAAGACAGCGATATTGAATCGATGCACGAGGACAGATCACTGTCGTAGTTACTTACCTGGGATAGAGAGGTGGTTCGATGGCGTTGTCCATTTGCACGGGATGTTCGGGCTTCATGATCATCTGATGCGGTTGGTACACGGCTGAGTCGCCGTACTCGGAAGAGTATCGTTGGCACGACTGGTCGGACTCGTAACGGTCGGCGTATGCTGCAGCGGCAGCGGCCACGGCTGCATTTAGCGGGTTCGGGTATGACGGTGGCCGAACATGGTCGTACGAAGATCGGGTTGGCACTTCCGTGGAATACGACGGTGACGGCCGGTTAATGTTGGTTAGCACGTAGTTTCGGTCAACAGCCACCGAAGCGGCCGTCGCGGCAGCAGCCGCCGACCTGTTGTACATGTCTTGTTGTTGTTGTTGTTGTTGTTGTTGTTGTTGTTGTCCACTGCCGTTAATCTGCTGCGGCTCGTACGGCCTGTGTTGTAGTCTAGAGTTGTTATCCAACATCATGTATGACCCGGAAGAGCTAAGTTGTTGTTGTTGTTGAAGCGGTGACGGAGCTGACATTCCACCGTTGCTGTGTTGTTGTATTTGTTGTTGTTGTTGCTGTTGTTGTTGTTGTTGTTGTTGTTGTTGCTGATGCTGTTGTTGGTGATGGTTAATAGCGTCCATGCTGCCGGACATGGACGAAGAATTGGAATCGTGGCAGTGGTCGTACGACGACGACATAGTCATAGGAGTGTGCCGACTGCACGGAGGTGTTACTGAGCGACACGAACCGGTCGAATGCATTTCCGACTTGATTGTCATGGCGTCATCCTGCGGCCCAGGCGTGGGGCCGTCACTGCCGCAGCATCCCATTTCGGTTTTCAGGTGCAGCTGTTTCGGGTCCGGTTTTTCGTCTTCCATGTCGACCACGCCACCACCGACGTCGTCCTTGCGAATCATCTTCACCGGTTTAACCGTAGCCTTAGCGCCGACCACCGCGGTCGTGCCGCCGTAGTACGACGCGGCCGACAAATATTCGGGCGACCGGCCGTTCGGACCACTACCGTCGCAGTGGTCACCGTAGTGGCCGCCGCCAGTGGTTTGCATCTGCTGGTAAGACGGGTCCTTCATGCTGCCCATGCTAAGTTTGTACTGTTGTTCGAGTGCTACGCCGTTGCCGCTGTTGCACACTAAAAGTCGACAACGAAACGGAAATAATATGCGTTAGTCGTTCTCGTGGCGAATAAAATAAATACAATTTTAATCTTATCGAACATTGTTATTATTATTAAATCGTTATTGATATATTTTCAGCGGGGCGTGTCTGCCCGGGAGTAGACTGTTGCTGAGGGTAGGAAGTATGTTATAAGTTGGCTGTCTGGCGGACCGAGGGGAGTACCTGTTAGCGAGGCGATGTGCTGTTGAGACAGTTTTTTTTGCCGTTCTCGCAACGCCTGTTTGTTGGCCGCCGCTATTGGACAGCCCGACAGGCTCCTATGCGTGTTTCGGTTCGAGTTCACGTGTCCCCTGCCGTTACATCCGGGAGTGGGACACTTTAGGATTGTTTCGTGCAAGGCCAGAACTGGTCAAGACAAGATGTTATGAATTATATTTACGTGTTGGAATGGGTATTGCAGTATATACATGCAACATTAACACACGCGAATAAACAGCATTTTAAAATTACATATATTTTTTTTTTTTTAAACATTTTTTAAGTCAGGACAAGGATCAAGAAGGGGTAGAGAGAGAGAAAAAGAGAGAAAGAGAGAGAGAGAGAGAGAGAGAGGAGAGAGAAAGAGAAGGAGAGAGAGAGAGAGGTGATACGATGATTATACGTTAAAAATAATAATATTACGATGCGATTATGTTAATAAAATAGACAAGAGTGTAACGATGCTGTGTGTATTCTTCGTGGTATATACATATATGTATAATATATATATATATATATATATATATATATATATATACACTATACATATATATAATGTTGCACGTGATGAACTTCGACGTCGAAGGACGAGAGGACAGTGGTGATAATCAGCTCTCTACCCCCAGCAAAAGTCCTGTATATTGAAATTGGTTTTGTTTGTTGCATATATATATACATTAATTGATGTTATATTATTATATAAAATACTCACTTTCTGGCGTCACTTTATCCTTACGAGGACATCCCGATAAGCTGCATGTACGTAGCAGAAAAATACACTCAATAACCTACTGTACATAATACATGCAATTTAACGTTTAAAAAAAATTACCTTCTGTGATGCGAATACAATCCTGTGATGTGGCCTTGACCGGTACACCCCGGCGTGGGACATTTATTTCCATCTGAAACGGAAAAACTGCTATGTAATACTTTTTCAAATGTATTTCCTTTAAGCTTATAATATTTATTATTTTGTTAGGGGATCTCTCTCATCTTTTGTTCCTCATTTGAAACAAAAGAAATAAGAGATGGGTTTTTTTTTTGCTTTGGTGATCACAAAAGCGCCGACTGTGCTGAATGGGTAGATAAGAAACATTGATTCCGGGAGTTACAGCTGGGAAGGGTGTTCGGCTTTTTTTCAAGATATTATTTATAATTCTCTTGTTTTTAATTAAAACTGTATCGTTTTAACGCTCTGTCGCCATCTAAAAAAATTATAATTAAAAAGTATACACATCGATGGATACTCCAAACAGCGAGTAAAAGAAAACTTCAAGGATAGATAAGCTATGTTAACTAAAATATAAGATTCTATTTTAATCTAATATCGAAGTGGATTTCGATAAACTGACATGCAGTTTAGAAAAAAATAAAAATATTCGGTTATAAAAGTTTGACTTAAGAGTAAATTTTTCTCGTTTAAACGTTAATTATTATCATACACCCGTGTAGCAAACAACAAATATTTATAATCAAATATATTGCTAGTTTAACAAATATTGTAACTATTTATTTTCAATCTTAACCTTCATAATCGAAAGAATAAACATTTAGATTGTTTGGATTTTTTTCGAAGAATGTTGATTAATTAAGTTTTTTCAATCTTCAATGTTCACTGAAAACTCAAAAGTTCATTGAATCTTATGAATTTAAAATCGTTGCGTAAATGAATAAATTCAAAAATAATTTACGAAAAGATAGTTGCGAAATTTCAGGTCGAAATTTGGTCGCTATATTGTGTTAGTGTTGAGAATCACGAACAAAAGCTGCAGCGAAAATGGGTTCTTGTACTAAAAATTGTGATATTTTAAGTTTATGTATTACATATTGTACAATCGATATAATTTAGACCTTTCGAATAATGTCGTTTTCCGTAAAAGTAACTTTTGAAAAACCATTATAAATGTATCTATACGCTCCGCTGTCGCATGCACGGAGGAATCATTTAAGTCATGTTATCACAAATGTCGTTATGCGAAATAGCCGAGGGTAACGTATACCAGGTCGGTGTGCTCGTTGCTATGTGCATACGTGTAATACAGCGATACGTAATAAATACTAAGAAACGGAGACGGAGAGAAACGCGTTTCTGTTCGAGTCCGTGAAAGCGGAGGGTGATAGGACAACGGAGGAAGTCGATGAAACGGAAACTGGTACGAATCGCACGCATACAGTATAATGCGGAAGGGCAATAGGGGTTGGGCGTTCTTCATGTAATGGTATAAAAGAGAGGGCCGAGTGTTAACAACTTGTACCCGTTCGCCGTGTTTGGGGTTAAGTTGGCACGTGATCGGCGTAGAGATGTGCTCTTAAAGCGCTCGCCGCCCCACCTCGTCACCCGTCGATCGCTAACGTTACAATGCCGACGATGTCAACAACGCCAACGACGACGACGACGGCAATCCTCCTTGAATGTTAATTAGTGCTAAATTGTGCGCTGATTCAGTTGCGGGCGTGCGGGATTACAGTGAGGTACGGGGGGGGGGGGCGAGTGGACGATAATACGAGCTCGTCGCTAACGACTCACCTTTGTTGTTCATGCATCCGGGAGGCATCAGCTGGCCGCCGTCCATGACGTTGAGTTTCGGCGTGCCGGCCGCAGTCCTGGGCGACAGACTGCCGGCCGCCGCCGCGCCGCTGACCACGGACGCGCCGAGCACGCCTTCCCTGGCCACGTCCTGAAGAGCGGTGGCCGCTCTGGAGTCGGCTCCGGCTGGCTGGAGAATCGTATACTGTTTGGAGAGTGGGCTGGCCGCGTCCATTTTCACCGGTCCGTCCGGCTTGCAGTCCACCGCGCCACCGTCGTCCTCCATCTTGACGCACACCGGTTTCACAGTGGTGACCGGTATGCAGACGTTGCCGACAACGCCGCTCATGTTGCCACCGCCCGGTGACAGTTTGGCCGCCGGCGAACCGTGAGGTCCTCCGCCGTTGGTCACCAGCCCTGCGGGACCGGTATAGCCGACCACGAACGTGGCACCGGCCGGTGGGTAGGGACCCAGCGGGGACATGGCAGCTCCAACGGCGGTGGGCAAATCGAGCCGCGTGGGATCCTTGGATTCACAGCCGGAGACCGGCCGGAACGCGGAGAACGCCGTCTTGTCCATCAGGTACGCGTCGTACGACGTGGAATCGGACTCGTGTTTTAGCCCGGTCATCTCGTCCGCGCGCATGTGACTGTTGTTGTTCCGCCGGTCCACGTCCAATTTGCGCCGGAGCCGGTCCCCCGTCGTCGGCCCGTCATCGTCTTCCTTGTCGCCGACACCACCCGCGCCGTTACTGCCGTCGGCCGACATGTCAATTTCGAGCTCGTCGGACGAGTCGTCCACCAGTTCGTTGAAGTCCGGCTCGTATTTCGACGGTGTGTATTTGTCGGGTTTCTTGTTATTTTCGCTGCAGTCCTTCTGATGGTCCATCTTGTTGAGCAAATTGTCGATGTCCCGGCGCTGTTGTTGCGGTGGCTGCTGTAGTGATGGAGCGGTTGGCGGCGTTCTCGAGTCGAACGTGTTCTTGTTCTCGTCCACTTTGGCGGTTTGTGGTGGTGGCGGAGGGTGCACGCCGCCGCCGTTTTTCTTTTCGTCGAACAGGTTGACGAACGCGGGTGACTCGTACCGGTCGTCGTCGTGATGCCCTGTCCGGTAGAACGAGTGTCGCGGGCCCGGCCATCCGCCCGACAGACTCTTCAGTGCTGCTTCCGTCTCGCGTATCAGCGTCTCGTCGTCCACCGCCTCGTCACCACTGGCCTTTGCTTGTTTCTTCGGCACGGCAACGACCGCGGCCAACTGTTGTGCCGTGGCCGCGACCACCGCGGCCGTGCCAACCACCGGTTGACCGACCAGCGGCCGTTTTTTCGGCAACATCATCGTTTTCTGTTGCGTACTGCTGTTGTTTCCGCTGTCTTGCTGTTGCTGTTCGGACAATCCTTTTTCTTTGTCCGCGGCCATCTCCTGCATCTGTTTCAGCGCTCGTCTTCTTTTCTTGTGCGCGAACGTCTCATCCACCGGGGTCTGCGTTTTGTTGCACGCCACCACTCCGTCCCCCGTCGACTTACGTTTCGACGTTAACCTGTGTACAACAATAAAATATTTCACTCGTAATTAATAATCGTAACATTTAAGACGAAATAAAGTTTAAAACATTCCGTGCGCGCCATTTATTAAAAATGTACACTTTGTTCAGTTATAAAACATCAATATATATATAGATATACATAATCAATCACTGTTTTTAATTGACTGCTGTTCACAGCAATCTCGATTAGTTAGTTTTTTTATTTTTATCAATTATGTTACTAGGGGAAGGAAAAAATACCAATAATGTTCGTTCTTCTTCTTGGCCGTCAATCGGTTGCTTAATTTGCCAGAGATCCGTTTTTTTCGGCCCGTTAAGTATTTTTTTAATTAAAAATCGCTCGTCGACTTTTTATTATAATAAGAAAGGGAAAACAGTTACTTAATATAATATCGCTGCGCAATACATCGAAAGGCCGAACGGTTCTTGCGCAAAGGGGTAATAATGAGAGGGTAGAGATGCAGACTTAAAATCAAACAATGAGAGAAAAAGGGTTGTTCGCGAGACATTAGATATTAACAAGTATTATTATACACCGGCCAGTCGCTCATCCAATGCACTGCACGTACCGCGTCTGTATATAGTCTGCGGCGGTGTTATTGCATGTTTTAATTTGTTAATTATTTACATGATCGTTTATCGACATCAATGGAAATTTTCATTAAAACATTATTTTGGTTATAAATTTACGAATAAGCCAATTACCTAATATACCACCACGTCCATAGACATACCGCACACAAATTTATGCAGCGTTTGAGTGCAAGATAATGCTGACAAATTGCTCTTGTCTCGCATTCGCCACCGTCATTCACCGTGGGTTATTACGCCAGGAATCGTACAAACGTGTTACCGCGCTAAAAGGGGAAACGAACACCGGAGCTTTCAGTCATGCTTTTGCTCCGGATCGAGCAGGTCCCTCGTTGGTAAGCGTCGGTCCCTTCGTATTTTACGTGCACGATGTTTTGCGGCACATTTCATTGACATCAAAAATATTTATTTTATCGTTATTGCTATGTGAGTTTCGATTGCAAAAATTTCTCTAAACTACTAAGATACATAAGTTTTATAGTTTTTTTTTCTTTTAATAAAATTATGAAAGAAAAAACTAACCATTTCTACAAAAGTAATAAATTACAAAAATAATTTTCTAGGAGAAATTATTATTACATTTATTTGCGAATAAAAAACTTATTAGGTGTGGACAAGAATTACGATTGAATATCATTGTGTTTAAAAAAGTCTACGGTGGGGATTGTACACCTTTATCACCTAATTTGGAAGTTTCGAAATTAATTGCATATAAATATAAGTTTAAAATGAATATCGTTACATGTGACTTAAAAAATTAAAATTAAAGGACCCATAAGTAGTGGAAAATATATTTGTTCCGAACAAAATTTTTCCGACTTTTAATGAAAATTCACTAGCCGTGTAAAATATATCAATACGTATTTCAATAATAAGATTTTCATCTTCAGCGTTTATTCGCTATTCGTAGGGCCATTCGTAAGCGAATATTTACATAACTTACTTCAATAAATTTGTTATATACAACGAAATATTTTACATTTCAAAACTACAGTGAATTAAATTGATTGTATTAGATTTATAACTCAGTTCTTTTATCAATTCTTCGATATTAAGTGTTTTCATAATAGCTCGAGTACGATTGAAAATTAAAATATTAGTTAAACAAATGTATCATTTTTTGTATGCAATAAATAGGTCTAGTGAAAAAAAAAGAATAGAAAATATAATTGGTGGTTTTTTTGTGTTGAGTGAACTGATATTGTTATATTCACATTGTCAAACATAAACATTGAGTTGATAATTAGCGTTTAGAGTACGAATTGTGTACGACATTGAACCGGTTAGAGTATTCAATTTATATACGATATTTACATTTCAAAGGGAAATTAGTACAAAAGAAGAGGATTTATTAAAATGCGGAAAACATTAAATTATATTTACCAGGCGGCATAATTATTATCTACGCATACAGTTGAACGCCCTCTCTCGAAAAGAGTTTCTATACTACATTCCTTACTCTCCTGTGTTTTTACAATAACCGGTAATTTTCGTTTTTTAATGTATTTTACTTTTTTTTTCCGTGCCCGAGTCCTACTGGAAAAATAGCATAATATATTTTTATTGCATCAAACGATGACGTTGGTCGGGCGTACGACGCAGTGTCATGCTAGGAAATATTATGCTACCACCACCGACGGTACGGTTTACTATGCGACTCGTCGAGGTGTGCAGTCGCCGAGTGCATGTCAACACTACATTACAGACGCGGCAATGATCATTCGAAACGTACTTCACCCTCACCCGTAACGGCATATTTTATATCCTATTATTAACGTATTACCGTCATGACGTTTTAATTCAAAAGTCACGACAACGACTATTATTTCTCATGTCTCTTTCCCCTTACATTCACAGCAAAATAAAAAAATATAAACTATATATTACAAATATTATTGTTATTATTATTATATGTTCGAAATGTACAGCACAGGCAACGGAGAGCGCGGCGATGACGACCGAATAATAACAAGCGTCATGTCTGTGTCATGCGTGTACGACGTGTGGGTAAAAGCTTCGGGTTGTGTTCGCAGGATTTGTATATATTTTTTTTATCTCCTACTTACATTCCGTCCTTTTTCCCTCTTTCTCTCATCGTCTAAACGTGATGATTGTGCAACAAGTATATTTTGTATACGTGCTCGGATGCGTCGAGTGGATAGCCGGCGCTAACCGTTTCTTTGAATTGCTCTCGTTCTTCGCACATGATGGCCGGGGGTGGGTGACCCGACCACATACAACGCGCCACGCGATATCATTGTATAGTCGTTATATTTTATGTAGTGTAGATAAAAACAGTTTCCTTGTGGTCACGGTTCAACCCCTCCCTGTAGCATCACGCCGAGTAGCTTAAATTATTATCGTTATTATTGTTTCCAGTCCTTTTACGGTTAACGTCATATTATTATATATTATATATGGTATCACGTATATATATATACCGTGTGTAATATTATTTTTTATTGAATAAAATCCGGATGAAAAACGTTTGAGTGAAAAAAAGGAAACTACGGTCAAATTGTCCCCCAATAGGAACCACGTGCCACTAACGGAAATTCGTGTTTGTACATTTTTTTTCTTTTTTTTAACTACCGAGTTAATAATGACGATTTAAAAAAAACCCTCGTTAACGTATCAAATAAAAATAATTGTTTTTTCGTATTCGAATCATTTTCCGGTGTTACTTTTAATGCCGCACGATTAATATTTTTGTTAATCACGTTAAAATAATCACAACGATTTTCTTCATCGTAGCGTAAGTTAACTTATTTGGTGAATAATAAAAACGAGATGCAGTCGAACTGCGGTATGATATATATCGCACTTGCATCTCGAAGGATCGGTGCACATAGCGTTAGTCGTAAATAAAACGTTCAGAAATAAGGTGAGGCATTCAAATACATTATATTCTTTAGTCCAGCGGCGGCACAGACTAGAAATCCATTTGAATATAGGGTAAGCACGGTTATCTTTTTGTTTTCCTTCCCGGTTGTTTCTTTATTCTGAATAAAAACTATGTTTGAATAAAAATCGTTTAGGTGTGTGGGGAAAGAGGTTCACGCCTTAATCTGCTGGTGGCCCGGAAAAACAGCGCATACAAACGGCGCGCTTATACATACACTGCAATGCAACGATGGCGACGCGGTGTTCGAGCGCGGGACTCTGATTTACGACTGTCGAGGTGGTCGCCACTGCTGCACCACGCCATCGTTGTAGTCGGCGAAAAGAACTTGAGTACCGTTTCCACCGCCATCCTTTCAGCGTAGGGGCGGCAGCAGCAGCAGCAGCAGCAGCAGGAGCAGCAACACACCCTTAGTCGACCGGCGCGCGCGATATGGTGTCTTGATTTATAAACCTCTTCGCGGCCGCGCGGCAATATATATACAAAGAAAGCGCGCCCGAGGCCAACGACGACGACGACAACGGTTTAATCTCGATTTGGGATTTGGACACGCCACCCTCTTCTCATTCCATTCCTTCTGTACCTACTTGCCCGGTTTAACCTTACCTCACATACACACACACACACATACACATCACGAGGGCACAGCCTGTCACGTGTGTATAGGGTTACATAAAGTTATTTCGCTTCAGGTGTATGAAGGATTTATGTGCGATTGTATCGGTGGAGACGGTGGCGTTGGGGTTGATCGGGAAAGAGTATGATTTGGTCGGGTGGTGGGACTGGAAAGAGAGTTGAGAGCTTTATTAGTTTTGCCTCAATCTCTCTCCTCACGCGATGCATTTCTTTTCTTTCTCTCTCTCTCTCTCTCTCTCTCTCACTCTTATTATTTTTTATCTCTTTTAAATTTTCTAGTTCCAATCCGATCAGATACTCTATCAGTTTGAGCCGCAGAGTGGTCAATACTTTATAAAATATAGGTATTATATAGTACGGCGAACAGTGTTACGTGGGAGGATAAATCGAAAAGATCGATAAACTTTTCGGTACGAAGTTTGCGTCTGGACAGCATAGCTGATGGTCACCACGGATAATACGCGTATCTGCTGCTACAACGGACCGGATGACGCGGCTGAGGTATATATATATATATATATGTGTGTGTATGATACATAATATGGTTATCTCGGGCACGGCGGCAATGACTACTCGTATATATATATATATCTCTGTACGGGTTAGAAAATTTCTTTAAATATCCCGAGGAGATAAATTTTCAATGTACTTATCGTGCTTATACAATTGGACATTGCGTAATGTATACACGCGTAATTTTCTAATCGAAAAACAGTCCAAAAATATTGTGAAAATAAAACATCATGCTAACCATGTAATTGTTTTTTTGGTTTTCACCACTTTTCAAGATTCAATTAGATATTAATGGCTGTATCGTTATATATAAATATATGAAAATATATAAAAAATATAAATATATATAATTTTTTATAAAGGTATATTTTCGTTACCATGAAAATAATAATTGTTTGTTATAATTCGAAATCGGGTGTTTTAGCTGTCACAATTGATTTTTATTTTGTTAATTTAATTATGACAAAAAATTATTCTGTGACAAAATTTATAGTGGAAAAACAATATACACACAATACGACGATAATAATAATAATAATAATTATAAAAAAATAAAAATTTAAATTAAACAGAATAATGTACAAAGCAATTTGTTATGCTCGAAATTCATTTAACGAAACTCGCAAGTATGCATGGTACAAAAACCGATGGTTTTTTTTTTAATAAAAATATTTATTTAATTTTTTTTATGAAAACGTGCCGTTTTAAACAGTAATAATAAAAGGTAGCAGGTAAATTGTTTGTCAAAGTCATGAAAAAAATGCTTGTAGGGCGAAAAAAGAGGAATTCGTTTGAAGTACTACTACTAGATTAGTTGGTCGAATAACGATACAAGCTTACCAATTCGCGTACTACTCCTGAAAAAATAGCTTTACATTCCCCCCACTATTTTTGCTTGCCTTTTCATTACATTTCTTTCTATAAAGCTGAATTAAACTTTTAATTTTCGTTCTTAATCCGAAACGCAAAGGGCTTTCGTGCTGGGTTTTACCTCTGAATGAATATTATTCGTTTTTTTTTTTGGCTTTTTTTATTTTTTATTGTTATTGCGACGAAGAACCTGAGGGAACGGATGTTTCTCTTTTCCTTTCTTTTTCTTTATCTCTCTCTCTCTCTCTCTCTCTCTCTCTCTCTCGCTCTCTTCTCTCTGTATTTTCCGTACGTATATACCTTATTCTTCACCCTAAAATTAAGACACCCACGTTGCAATCATACGCAGGTAATGAAACTCATTTTTTTAACACTCACCGAGATGGTCGTTTTTGAAATAGCCACTTTGGCGAAAGAAAAAAAAATTATAACTTAGCGAAATAAAATTATATAGGAAACATAAAAAGACAGAGGGTGGTCGGTATTATTTCGTTACTAAGAAAATAACTAGCTATCTAACTTGGAGTAATATCTATCATTTTTAATATAAGATATTGTAGTCATTTTTTGGAGTTGAAACCTGAGCGTGAAAACATTCGCCAGTAGTTAACATTCGCATTGGTCATTGTCATGTGTAAATATATGTTTTTTTTTTAATTTTTTATCATAGTAATGGAATTCTAGAAAAAAATCCCTCTTTATACTTTTGAAACTTTCGTGGCGATCCATTAACAACGGTCAATGTGGGAAAACCATAATTTATGAGAATAAAATATATTCGAATTCATTTATCGTATATACGTTATGTCGTACTGTCTCTTTCACTAACCCTATCTCTGGAAACCTGGGCCTTTTCTATAGGGGAATTGGTCCGGACACACTCCCAACACGGTATTCCAATTTTGTTTTCGAACAGTAATTAACGCATTAATTTTTAGCCTCTGCGGTCGTCGTCGTCGTTGTTGTCGCTGGATTTTTTTCAAACCCACTCGCAGCACCTCTCCTCCCAAACGTTATTTTATTATTATTTTTTTTTTATTCCCTCGTACCCCTTTGCGTCTAACCCTTTTTCTTTCTCGTGGCGCCTGTTTGCCCGTCGAAAAATATAAATAACTTTGGGGACGTGAGGGATGATGGTTGAAAAACACGGGGCGCCAAGTCACAACCCCTAATTTTGCGATTTTTTTATGATTATTTTTTAATATAATAATTTGGCAAGACGGGTCGACGGACGTTGTTTTTCATTATAAAAAAAAAAAAAATTGCAACACTATAATGAAAAATGTAAAAGGATGCCGGAGTGTAATGAATACTTCACGGTTGAGAATATGAATAGCGTATATGTGCAATGAAAAAATAAAAAACTCAATGTAATGACATTTTTTTTTCTATTCTGACCTCTACATTGACACAACACTTCCATTAATACTGGACGTATCACTTATGGGACATATTATTTACAATATAACTCTGTACACTACCCATGAGTATATTATCATCATCATCATCGTTAATTCGATTTCACGGTGTATACTTCAAAACATAAAAAATTTATATATTAATTTACATAACATATTTTCTTATAGGTACTTTGTAGGTTTGATGCGTGTAAAAATGATTATGTATTATAGGTTTTTTTTTATAAAATACCATTATTATTGTAATTATATGTTAGGTTTATACAAATAATTGAATTGTTAATGAGAAGCGGGTTATGAATTAGAATTTCTGCTGTCATTTCGAAGTTTATGGTTTAAATTCTATATGGCTCGTGAGAAGTACTTAATAAGATTCATGTGATAGTCTTTATAATATTAGTATAATGATATTCCTGCGTATTTTAATTTACATCTTGAGCGAGGAAAGTGCTAAGTATTACATTTTAATTTGTGTAATAACAAAACAATATTAGTTATGCAAATATTTGATATCGATATGTGAACCTATATAGGATAAATATTATTATAATTAATAGATTGAGTTAATATTTGATATAAAATAATATTTTTTGGTTCGACAGTTATCAAAAAATAAAAAAATAAATATTATTTTATTTATATTATACGTGCTAATAACTCTAAAGCACGATATTGTACATAATATTATTTGGTGTTGAACTTGTACTAGTCGTAACAATAAGAGCGTGTATTAAAATCTTTACTAGAGACGCAGTCAGTTTTCCAATTTATTACCGATGTAAAATAAAAGAAATCCAATAAATAATAGTACGAGTATAACAGATTTATAGGCTTTTTGATGTATTTCCCTGATTTCTGACGTTATCAGTTTTGTAATCGTATTTTTTCCCGTTTATTTATATTTTTTTTATACGAAATAAAAATAAAAAAAGTAGAAAGGGGAAAATTCTATCCGAGATGAGATGATTATTGTGGTTACAGCTGTGGAAATGCGTTTTGCGGTCAGATTTACGGTCAAGGCAGCAAAACGCAATAATAATAATGTAATACAAGATTCTTCCCTCCAGACGAAATAATTCCAACGGTCCAGAAGGCCATAAATTTGTTTAGGGCCGACCGGCTGTCCCTCGTGTTTTCCTTATCATCTCGACAGCATTAGAGCTTATACTCTCTTACTCTCCCTAGTTTTTTTAACCACGAAAATAGAATGAGATGAAAACTACTAACAAACAGTTACGCACGTGCTTTGGCTTGCAATTATCTCCGAATATTGGATAGGTTGAATGTCAATGACGATTCGCACACGCATCTTTAAATGACTGCTGTATGTAATTTATGTTTACCGGCGAATAGATAATACAATTTGGAAAGAAGAAAAAACAAAGAGCTAAAAGCAAAAAAAAAAACAAAACAGACAAGAACAAATAAAAAAGATTGTTGTAGATTTTTTTTACTTGTGGTAATAAAGCTCGGGACTGAGACTAAAAGTGCCGTAAAGTTTATTAATGTCCCCCCCGGTTGTCTCGTATTTTTTTTTAAGTTCACTTTCTCCCGGTGTCTTATGTGTCTCCAAGGAGCCCCGAAGCCCCTTATTTACCACCCACCCTATTGTGTTGGGCAACACGTGTGTTTAATCGGTCTCCGTGTAGAATTATGATTAAAAAAAATCGATGTTAACCTCCGGGACCGGGATTGTAAGGCGAAAAAAATGAAATAAATATACGAGCAAAAAAGTACTGGAGGCTTGAAATGAGACCGTAAATCTCACGACGAATTTTTCCCAATAATTTTCCCCTCGAAGTGTAGTATATAACAAAATCATGTTTTAAAAAAAAAAGTAAAAACAGTATAGGTACTTACATTTGTCCGTCGACCTGATGGGCTGCATACCCCACGCCATTGGATGGGAGTTTTTCTTCCTAAAAATAATGAAAAAAAAAACAACAGTGAATATTTTTACTAACGCATGGTTAATGACTTTTGAGTTTTAAAATTGTAATCAAGATCTGGTTAAACGTCTAGGGTGATTAATGATATTTTAGTGTACTAAGGAAGGGCTCATTCCATCCGTCACACCGCGAACAGTTTAAATTTACCCCCTAAACATGAATGACAGTAAACAATTTCCATTCGATCACGTAATCGCATACTATATTATGAATTAGTTTTTGTTGAATATAGGAGTAATATATAATACTACCTATTATAGACAGGAATACGTTTCAATGTTGAGTTTATTCGAAATTGACTATGCGCACAGTACTTTACAACAACAATTTTTATCTCATACATAAGTTTAATAATCATAGGTCATTCATTTTACCTGGTATAATGAATGTTGTAGATTTTTCCATACAAATAAAATCGTTATTTTATGTTTCTTTTTATCACTTTTTTTCTTTTCTTTTTAAACATTTGTGGCTTCATACTGAAAAAAATTTCCAATGGTGAACGAAACCACTAATTATTTATTTAAGCCTTTTAATATTTGTCAGTATCCCTAAGTTACGTGTTACAACAATATTCTCGGTCTAAAAAAATATTTTACAGAAGAAGTAAAAAACGATTTGACAATAATAACTTTTGTGCGGTTGGACAAAAACCTTTGTTGTTTACTGTGACATTTAACATTTAAAAATATTAATAAATAAAATAAAAGGATAGTTTTCGGTTTTTTTCTTGCACAGTGGTCGTTTTTTAATAGTGAGATTTAAAATAAAATAAAATAAATAAAAAAAATACTGTGGAATGTCAGGCAATCTAGAGATAGGGAGTGAGAGAAAGAAGACAAAGCTTGTAAAATTCAAAATCCGGACGTAACTAACTTTTTACTTTTTTTATTTAATTCGGGTTAAAAATGATGTGCCATCGTGTTGGCTACTGAAGGATGTCGTTTTCCCCTTGTACCGGATACAACATGGTAAAACTTAAAACTTTACAATCTAGGGTACACTGGCATAAGAGAACTATTTCGTCTTTTTTTTTTTGTTTTGTTCGAAAAACGTCAATTTTTCTCAGCGACAACGAATGATAAAAAGTAGTAGTGGTCGTATTAAAAAAAAAAAAGTACTAAACATAAAATATATACGAATGTTTTATCTAATCTATAATACCGCATGTGCGTCGCAACATGCGCGACGCAGTTGAAACTTTTTATTATTTATTTATTTTTCGTTTTTCACAAGAAACGTATTTTCAAGGGAACAGCAGCAAGCCCGGTCGTGTTTACTTAGATGAGAAAAAGTATAAGAGGGTGCCCGGTTGTATTTCGCCATCAAGAGCGTCGCGTAGTGGTAGTAAACGAGAAGATACTACGCTCACCGGACGTAGGTATGTATGATGGGGTCCTACATAACGGGATGTTAACGTGATTATGTGGGCGTATATAATATATATATATATGGTTGGTAGGGAACGGAGAGAGGGAAACAAATAATCTGTACAGCCGGTGTCTAACGATCCCGACGGGACCTCGGAGTCCGAGTCTTTACACGGCCATTGTCCACCGGTAAACAGCACTTTAAAACGTGTTGGCCGAGCCACGGTTTTATCTCGTATATATATTTATACCTAACACGGTGTGTGGTGGTGGCAGCGGCGGCAGTGGGACTTTCTTATTTGAAGCCAAGCAGCGTTATTAACTGATCTTTACGACTAGCCTCTCGGAGAGTAGAGTATTTAAACTCTATCTGAGCGCGCGCGCAGTGGACTTTTCCGATGAATTTTATACGACTGGTCGTTAAAACCAGTAGTTGTCCGGTCCACGGTATAATAATACTAATAATAACCAGGAAACAAGAAAATCGCCTTCAATCACACTCGTTAATTTCGATGTAGTGCGTTGATCGAAGCGCCACCTACTAATACCGCCGTACGTGTGCTGTACATTATGGCTTGGTGTTGGATAGTCTGGTAACGTATTCTTCATTCATGTGCACTTTTAGGTAAAGTTAGGTAAGCTAAAAATAATTGGTCAGCCGGCAGCCATTTTTCTCACCCGGTGTCAACAATTTCACCCTCTCGAAGTATCAAAGAAATGTACTGTTCGTAGTGTCGACTAAGGTACGTGTATGCCGAATAACTTAACGACTATTGGTGTCAGACTGCCCTAATAGCGGCATATCGATCACGTCACCACGATTTAATGACAAACCGAGGAATATATTATCACATAATTACCTACAGTCGTACTGATATATCGAATAATGAAATATCTAAAGAATTTGTACTATAATGGATAAATAATATTTTATTCCGAACACTTGCATTGGGGTATATATAACAAATTTATAACAGCGTAACAACTAAAAGACGGTACCTGCAATGGGTACAAAATGTCAGTACAAAATTTAATCCGTAAAAATGTGTAATTATCAATGCATTAATTTTTCGATTTGATTAAAACAATTTTCATACGGTCCACTATTAATTTGACTTTTAAACGCATTTATACCTTGTTTGTAATTGAATAAACACACCTCGGACAACCCCGCACGGACTCACCAGCTTTCGGGATAGAACCCAATACGGGCCTGCTTGTTTATTACCGTACGGTCGTACAACAAATACGTGCGGTACCGAAGCGACGCAGCGGCTGTACACCGGTGTCAAAGTTTTGCACGGGAAAGTTTTTTCTCCGTACCCGGTAAAACATCGGTCGGGTAAAAACAGTGCGTGTACGTACATAAAAATGCAATTCCGGACCGTGTACTACACGCTGCGACGCGTGGCTCTCGCGCGGCAGAGTTGTATTAACATCTGTAAAAATTTTTTCCCGTTCGGGACGACTAGGGACGCACATTGCGTATACAGGCACATGCGTGTATACGTACGTGCATTTTCGGAAATTGATGGATGGTCCTCGGATGAAGAATCGACGGTTTTCCACGTGACCCAACACGCGGCCGCCGCTCCCTGTCGCCGATACATCATTTTCCCCGGCCAACGCCGTTGCGCGGCCTAAGTGAATTCCGTTTCCCAAAACTTCCCCACCCGACGATCTAATGGGACCGATACGTCTTTGCTGGGCGTCCTGTCTTTAATGACCAACTGTTTTCCGGCCGCCGCGGTTACCGTCAACCGACCGTGTAAACCGCTACTGCCGCCGCCGCCACTTCCTTCAGCCCGTGTCATTTCTCATCTGTCTCGCGACTTCCTACGTCCAAGTAGCTAAGAAAACATATTCGTCGCCATAACGATAGTTAACATTGTCCTCTCCCCTACGTAGTGCATTAATTAAATCGTTCGCTGTTGTGACGGTGCACATCGAGAGCAGCATTCGACCATTACGTTACGTCGAGGGCGCACGCGCCGCCGCCGTATGTAATAGTCAAATTGGCAATTTTAAGCACAAAGTGATATTCCGAATGCGCGTGAAACGTCGTTTTTAAAGTCAAAACTATTTAAAATTAGTTAACTGCGAAGTATGGTAATATCGATTATACACGCGGTACGGTAGACTTCTAAGAATCTGAAATCCATTATAAACTTATTGAAATATTACTATTCCAAGTATAAATAAAAATTATTGATCGTAGTGTTTATTATACATTTATTTAACTTAAATGTTTCATGCTAGTACGTCACCAACTTATATATTTCTATGTTATTGTGTAATTATTTTACAACTTAGAGTCGTAGTACGTGTAAAATACTATCGATAGAATACTCGTGACTGTGAGACATTATACGTGGCACCTACGTTCTTAAAATTTTATACGACAATTATGGTTTATCCAACCTAAAATGATTATTTATTATTTGCGTCGCACCGAAATCATTTTTCACGCTTAACAGAAGTTTTCGGGTTTGTGTTTTTGACAATTTTAGACTTCAGATATTAGTTTAGGGGAATTGAATAAAAAAATATAAAAAGAAAAACACCACGAATACATATCCCGCAATCGAATTACCGCGTAATCTCATGTGAATTGATTACTATGCTGAGAAAATATTTATACGTGCTTAGTAGGTATAGGGTGCAAAGAAAAAATAAGTATCTGAGGGGAACACGTCAGATTCGCGCGCACCTGACACCCTTATGCAAATCTAGAAGTTTCGTCATGTATACCACGGCAATAATTTAATCCTTTTTAAGAGATTTTCTTTGCTGGATGACTGGTTCAACTACAGGAGACCCTAAGGATTGAATACAAATTATATATTACTATCCATATACGGTATACTATCGTCATTACGTTATTATTATTATTATTATTATATACGTACGCTTCTTTCGTATTACCGTGAGATACGATTTTACGCTTCGGCCGTTACCACATACATATCTGTGCCAAGAATATGGAGGCCAATTTGAATAAAATTAATCACCGCGTATCCCTTTTTCACACGTAAATATGCTTTTGATGAACATTCGAGTTTCTTTCAAATATTTTTATACTATTTCGAAAACTTGTCGAAGGGTGAAAGTTTCCAACTTAGTAAAGAATTTATGATTATTTAAGTTATAGTATACATTTTCAATATATTTTTTAATTTGACAATTTATGTTCATTAATTCTTACAAAATACCTATTTACGTAATACCATTGATTAAATATACATTGTATATTTAATCAATGGTAATACGAATATACAGTACAGATAATTAATTTATATATCGTTTAGTTTATTTTAATTATTAGAAAAAAATCAGTTATATTTCATTCAGTTATGATACATTATTGATGTTTTAGATATTTTGAATATAAATAGGTGCAATACATATTTAGAAATACGTCTACGTAATAAAATAATTTAGGTACCTATTGAAGGAAAAGTAATTAGATTTTAATTACGTAAAACGTGGTAAAAATAATATATTATAATATTTTATCTGTTATAACGATTAGCGATTTACTGACATCGACATTTTATTATGATAAAAAGTGAATTATATCGTTTCATGCTACAGACTTCA